CAGGCAGCAGGCAGCAGGCAGCAGGCAGCAGGCAGCAGGCAGCAGGCAGCAGGCAGCAGGCAGCAGGCAGCAGGCAGCAGGCAGCAGGCAGCAGGCAGCAGGCAGCAGGCAGCAGGCAGCAGGCAGCAGGCAGCAGGCAGCAGGCAGCAGGCAGCAGGCAGCAGGCAGCAGGCAGCAGGCAGCAGGCAGCAGGCAGCAGGCAGCAGGCAGCAGGCAGCAGGCAGCAGGCAGCAGGCAGCAGGCAGCAGGCAGCAGGCAGCAGGCAGCAGGCAGCAGGCAGGAAGGCAGCAGGCGGCAGGCGGTAGGCGGTAGGCGGTAGGCAGGAAGGCATGCCACTAGAGCAGTAACTGAGAGCTCACATATTGATCCACAGGTAGAAGGCAGAGAGAGCTAACTGGATATGGCATGGGCTTCAGAAATCTCAGAGTCCAACCCCAGTGGCATACCTCCTTCAACAAGGCCACACCACTGAATCCTTTCCAAACAGTTCCACCAACTGGAGATCAGTCATTCAAACATAAGAGTTTATGGGGGATGTTCTTATTCAAACCACCATGACACAGTAAAGAAAAGTGAAAATTGAGCAAAGATTATTGGTATAAGCATTATTGTGATTTTAAAATTATATTATTCTGACTTACCCAATATTCATGTCTAAAATATGTATTAAATAGTTATCAAAATAATCAAGGAATATGCCTTTGTCTGCAAAGCAAAACTATGTAGCAGAGAGCCTGTGGGGATATTTCCCTCTAGCACTTTTTATTTTAGTTTGAAGAGAGTTTATCCTCTATTTTGATACCATTTTCGGACTAATATGAACATTGTGGAAACATAGACATGTATACATAACTTATTAGTATTTTCATTACAAGTGAAATATACTGTGTTTTCCAAGATGTTCAATTAAAATTATGTTTGATGTCTTACCCAGCTGTGAACCCTGTGAACTATAGTAATGACTAGTGCGGCAAGACTGGCCCATGGGTGTAGTAATGGCATGAATGTTAAGGGAGTAACCAGCTCCTTTATAATTGGATGTAAATATGCTCCACAAGAGAAAACACATGCCTAGTACTGTAAATATGGCTAAGATTCTGTGGGTAGGAGCTCATAGGCCCCAAGGGGTGGACCTACTATTATCATTATACATGCACGTAGTATTAAATTGCCCTCTAGATCTACATTTCTCTACCCATAAAACAGCAAGGCTCTCAGACTCCATTAGAGGAGGATTTTTTGTGTAGTTGATGGAGAGCAGAGGATAAATGTCCGAGGACTGCTCAACTGAGACATCTATAACACACCCTCACTCCCAGGCTTAGGGCATGTCCCAGAAGGCAGGTGGCTAAAAGCCACAGCTCTGAGGGGTCCAGAGTAAAATTTGTAGACATGATAGGACTGTTACACTCATGAACTCAAACAGCAGTGGCTGTTTACATACGACTTGCACAAGATCTAGCCAGATCAACCATTCTAGCACAGAGAGGGAAATGTCCATCACCTCCTCCCCCGACCCCTACCTGAGGATCTATTGGTAGGAGTTAACAGCTCCTGAGAAAAGGCAGGTCAACTTTCTTTAAGCATGTGGCTTCTGGTAGGACAACCGTGCTCCAGTGGATTACCTCATACCCAGCACTTTTCATGATGTTTCTAAAGGCAGTCAGGTTGACAATGAAAAACCAGCCTACTCAACTAGGAATACTGAGCACACTTTCTAGAGTCTGTTGATCTTTTGTGTGTCTTCTTTGGAGAACTATCTGTTCAGTTCATGAGCCTATTGGTAGATTGGATAACTTTTTTTGCTAATGTTTAATTGTTGCAGTTCTTTAATATACACCCTAGATATTAAGCCAATGTCTAATACATAGCTGGCAAGGATTTTTACCCCTCTGTAGGCTGCTTCTCTCTGGCAAGTGTCTTCTTCACTACTCAGTATTTTAATAGCATACAATCCATCTATTGTTTTCTATAGTACTAGGGTCCTAAAGAAAACCCATACAAATTCTTACATGGCCTTGAAGTGTTTTCCTCCAACATTTTACAGTTTTCATTAAGGTCTTTGGTCTGTTTTGACTTGATGATTGTGTTGAGTGAGATGTGTGGATCTTTGTTCCGGCTTCTAACTGTTGGGACCCAGCACTCTAAGCACTGTTAGTTAGAGGCCATCTTTTCTCTAGTGGATGTTTTTGACAATTACATAAAAAAATATATGCCTGGGTTTGTATGTGCATCCTGTATTCTACTCCAGTGTTTCACATGTTCGTCATTGTTTATTTTTATGTATATGGTGTTCTGCCTGCATGTAGGGGCACCACATGTATGTAGTGTCCCCCAGAGACCAGAAGAGGATGCTGGATTACAGGAAACTGGCATTGTAGATGGTTGTGAGCTGCCATGTGGCTGCTGGGACCCCTACAGGGCAGCAAGTGCCCCTAACTGTCGAGGTGTCTCTCCAGATCCCTCCCATCCGTCTCTCTGCCAATATATGCTGATTTGTTGATATGATTTAGTAATAAAAATTGAGATTAGTCATTGTGATGTCTTTAGGATTTCTTTGTTTATTGAGAACCCATATGAATGTTAGCAGTTTCTTCTAGTACTGATGAATGTCACTGGGATTTTGACGTGGATTGTACTGAATCTGTAGATCACTTTGGGTAAAATATCAGTTTTCACAATGTTAAGTCTGCCAATTATGATCATGGCAGGTCCTTCTATGGTCTACCATCTTCTTCAAACCCTTTTTGTGTCTTCTTTTTGTTATAGAAATCTTAACTTCCTTTGTTGGATTTATTTTGGGGTGTTTTTGTCTTTTAAGCTGTTGAGGATGAATTTTTTTTCCCTTCTTTCTTGGCTAATTTGCTACTGGCATGTAGGAAAGCTACTGATTTTTACCTGTTGATTTTATATCCCAATAATTTGTTGGAAGTGCTTATTAAGCCTAAGTGTTTTCTGGTGGAAAAAAAAAAGCTCAAAACCTCAATTTCCTTGCCGAGTTGTACTTCCATGTTGTTGACTCCCCCATCCACGCTTCTGATTTTCTCTGCCATCTTGCCAGCTGCTTCCTCTGTGCTGCTCGCTAGTGCCCCTGGGTCCTAAAGAGAACCCATCTGTTTGGTTCATTGTTTTTCAGGTCATGGATCATTTTATCAAAAAACTGTTACAATCAGCTTCTGCTAGTCTACCTACCCGTCTGAGTACCCTTGATTTCAGTCTTAAGTGCTATGATTGGGGCTGAAGGAGCCATGTTGCCTTGCCTTTCCATATTTCACGTGGTGACAACACATAAGACCATTCTCCATTGCTAACCAACCTGTCCGTGGCAGAGTCGCTGCTTCACCCACATCCTCCATTGGGCTTGAGCTAGTGAGGGCTGGTTCATGTCTTTTGGGTATGGCTTCCCTTCCCTCCACAGGGAACAGTTTCAGCTTCTCCGTCAATCTTTGTTTTTCTCTCCTTTCACTGGGTGACTTGTGGCGCTCTCTGTGTTTGAGATGCAGCCCATTTTTTTTCTCATTCTGACTCTCCTTCATGAGCTGAGTTTTGAGGATGGCTGGTATGGTGGCCCGATAGCATTTCACAGGGGAAAGACAGCACATGTGAAGGCCCAGTGGAGGGAAGAGACACCATTTATTTCTCATCTGCCTTTCACCATCACATCCACCCACAGAATGTGTTAGGAGATTTTTAATTATGTTAATGTGTTGTGAAGTTATTGAGTTACTGTCTTGTTTGTACAGGATGAACTGCTGTCACTTTTAGCCCCTCTGGAGGAAAATAAACCACAGATGAAAGACTCTCCAGTAACTGAAGCTGCCAAGTTCCAGACAGATGTCAAGCTGGAGAGGTGCCCGTGTTTCCTCCTTTCTCTACGTAACAGCCTTTCTGGCACTCTGGAGTGATTGCAGTCAGCCCTGCGATCTGAAGAACTAGACAGCAGGGACATGCTTCATTTCTAGTTTATAAGATACAATTATTAAAACAAAGCATGAGTAATTTATACATGAACTATTCAGTGCGGGCACAAAAAAAACTGATATATTGACAAGGATTGATACTCTGCTTTACTGATACACAGGTCACCTTACTCACAACCTGGTCTCATGTCACATGGGGCTAAAGAATTCCTCATTAGTTTTACTAATTTTTTAAAATACAGGCTCATGCATATTTACTCAACATTGAGTTCATGTCTTATTTTCGTTTTCATCTTTGCGTTCTGATGTACGTGTCTTAATGAAAGTACATTGTTGCCGGGCGGTGGTGGTGCACGCCTTTAATCCCAGCACTTGGGAGGCAGAGGCAGGCGGATTTCTGAGTTCGAGGCTAGCCTGGTCTACAGAGTGAGTTCCAGGACAGCCAGGACTACACAGAGAAACCCTGTCTCGAAAAACCTTAAAAAAAAAAAAGAAAGAAAGAAAAAAAGAAAGTACATTGTTAAACACAATGGGAATTGAAAATCACTCTCTCATTTGGGTGACCATGCTTCAGATGGCTGTCTCCGAGGAGCTGTCAGTCACCTGATGGCATCTCTGAGTGATCATTGTCCATAATTACCAGAATCCATTTAGATCTTTTTACATTGTTCACAGTGTCTTAGATTTTATGTGTAGTGAGCACAGAAAGTTGGGGTAAACTGTCTTTGTTTGCTTTAACCATTCTTCAGTGGACATAGGTAATATGTGGATGGCAGCAAGAGCACAGCAGGTTTGAGCTTCACATAAGAGTGCGCTTAGTTCTTAGGTTTCACACTTGCTACGTGTGACCTTGAGACCTTGATTAGTGGCCGTATCACTTTTGATCTTGTCTTTCTGTGTTTGTTTAGTTGAAAATGCCATAAAAACTTGAAGAACTTGCACATTTGGAGTATAGGTGGCAACTTCTCTTGTATTTAATGAAACATTCCTTAAAGGATTGAAAGTCTTTGTTAGATGGTTTTATACTTCTACTAAACCAGTACTTAATGCTTCTCATTTTTCTCATTTGTGGAAAAAGACAAGGTATTTTAGAATTTGAAGAAAAGGGACTTGAAATTTGCCAAGACAGCAATCTAGGTAAGACCTGGATTGGGAATTATTGTAGATAAGCCTTGCTTTCATTTAAAAAAAAAAAAGTAAGAAATAAGTTAAATCATGAAAATGGTGTTTACAAAGTGAACATATAAAATGATTTTGTATTTTTAAATTACGTATTTGTCTAGAATCTAAGTTGTTTAATGAGTTCGTTACTAAGTATATTTTGCTTTCTGAAACAGTGTGACTTGAAAAAAATCATTTTCCTTTTGTGGTCTTGGGATTGAACCTAGAGCTTCCCAGATTCTGGATAAGTGCTCTCTCACCAAAATACATCTCTGTCTCCTATAGTTTCTTTTATTAATATTTATGGGTGATAGCAAAGTTTCTTTTGGAAATCTTTACATTTTGATGTGTTTTATTTCCTACAGATGGGTCTTGGCCCTAACACTTTAATTACTTTTTTTTTATTAATGTAAAGAGACGACATGACCAAGGAAGCTTATAGAAGGAAAAAAATTATTTGGGTTTTACAGTTTCAGAGAGTTAGTCTGTAACCATCATAGCAGAGAACATGGGAACAGGCAGGAAGGCATGGTACTGAAACATGAGCTGAGAGCTTACATCTTTATTCACAAGCAGGAAGCAGAGACAACTAACTAGGAATGACATGGGCTTTTGAAACCTCAAATCCTGCCCCAAGTGACACACCTCCTAATCCTTCCTATACAGTTCCACCAACTGGGGAACAAATATTCAAACATGTGACCCTATGGGGTGTGTGTGTGTAAAGCACTCTGCTACGTCTATTACATTACTTTTCTATGAGTATAGTAGATTGTCCTGGAAAATACCTGAGAGAGTCCCAATACTTATTTTTCAAGCTTATGATGATTTAAAGAAAGTTTTCTTTATATATAGAGAGCCCCTTCCTGGCCCATTCTGAAGCTTGAATGACATAATAATTTTATTTCTATAGTTGTCATATCAGATAGCAACTTTCTCCTCAGTGGTGCATTTCAAGCTTCTCTCTGCTATCAAGATGGTGAGGAGGGGGTAAATCATCCCAGAATGGTCTTCCCGTGAAATAATTCCATGGAAGACAAAGTGAGCTATTTTTATCACACACAAGATAGAGAACATAGTTAGAACTGAGAGTGGTTATTAGCTTTTCCTAGTAGAGCAAGTACATTGATGTCTCTTTTCTTCTGGAAAAAGAAACTTTAATCTGGAAACTGAAAAGGATCCTGGCTTAGTTAGGGTTTCAGTTGCTGCAATGAGCACCATGTCCAAAAGGCAAGTTGGGGAGGAAAGAGTTTATTCAGCTTACCCTTCCACATCTGTGTACATCATTGAAGGAAGTCAGCACAGGAACTCACACAGTGCAGAAACCTGATGGCAGGAGCTGATGCAGAGGCCACATAGGGATGCTTACTGGCTTGCTTCCCATGGCTTGCTCAGCCTACTTGCTTACAGAACCCAAGACCACCAATCCAGGGATGGAACCACCCACAATGGGCTTGACTGTCCCCCATCAATCACTAATTGAGAATATGCCTTACAGCTGGATCTTATGGAGGCACTTTCTCACATGAGGTTCCCTCCTTTCAGATAACTCTAGTCTGTGTGTCAAGTTGACATAAGATTAGTCAGCACATTCCTCCCCTGCCCATTATGTTTTGCAAAGCTTCAAAGGACCATGGCCATTCACTGATGCTGCTTTTGGCAGGGTTTATATGAAGCTAAGCAGTTTCCACGGAAACTCCCCAGCAGTTGTGTTGTGTCCTAACAAAATAAGTTCACAGAGAGGTGACTCGGTCATGACTCTGCCTGCTCTTCCAGAGAACCTGGGTTCAACTCTAAGCATTCAGGTGATGGTTCAAAATCCTCTGTAATTCGAGTTCCAGGGCACCAGTACCCTCTTCTGGCCTCTATAAGGACCAGACATTCAGGTGGTGTACATATTTGCACATGCATAGGTAAAATAAAAATGAAAAGATAGTTTAAAATAAAAATAAGTACATGCCCTTAGCTCGGCTTCTCCTGCCATTAGCCTGGAAGAGTCACACTGCCTGTTTTTTATTTAGCATCAACAGCCTCTCATGGTGACTCTGCTAATAATATTTTCTGCCTGGTGATTGTATTCAGTTACAGTCTGGCTATCAAGCATGGTAGTTTACATTTAGGTATTAAATTTTGACAGGCTTCTTTCTCCTTTGATTTGAAATACAAAAACTAGTGGAAGTATGAGTTTTAGCTTTTGAAGAGTGGATTGCCTATCATTAGAATGAATGCTCTTGATGCAAGGCTCCAAATTTATTCATTCACCAAACAGTCATCAGTTGAACCATTTTAATATATTATACTTATTTTATTTTTCAAAACAGGGTTTGTCTGTGTAGCCTTAGCTGTCCTGGAACTAACTATGTAGACCAGGCTGGCCTCGAACTCAGAAATCCACCTACCCCTGCCTCCCAAGTGCTGGGATTAAAGGGATGTGCCACCCCCTCCAGGATTTCTTTTCTATTATTTTATATTGCTGATTAACAATTTATTTTTCCTTTACCTTTAGAAGCAGCTGAAAGTACTGAGTCCTATTCAATACTAAGGTAGGATTTTAAAGATTAAGTACAGAAAAAAGAAAACTGGTACATATTAGTGTTCTCTGGCTCCTTGCTGCGTGATGGGCTTGAGGCTGGCTGCTTTGCAGTCATCACAGCTTGTTTGCAGAGCATGCACCCTGTCTGTCATAACCCATTTTCCCCAGCTAGGTGGCTCTCACTGAGGGGCTCATAATCCCACAATTGCCAGGAAGCTGATCCAGGGAGTTAGACTGTGCACTTTCTCAGTCCCTTTTCCTGCTCTTCTGTATAAATGATAAAACAAGAAACTACTTCGTATAACATCAATTCACAAAGTCCAGCTGTGTGTGATCCCTTGTACCAAGTGTTCCCAACAAGCTTAGCAGTGCTATAATCATGGTCTTAAAAGTCTTACAGCTGCAGTCATAACCAAGGTTCGTTTTAAGGTTTCAGGGTAGATCTTAAGCCTGTGGCTATCGAACCTTCAATCTGATACAGAACAAAATCATGCAACTTCTGTAGAGGAATTATTTTTCTGGAAGTAAACCACATCTACATGTAGACATTGTTCAGCTACAATATTTACATATGCCTAGAAGCTATCTGAATTATTATTATTACTATTATTATTATTGACTCCCTATTAATTTCCCTCCTGAAATTTCATTTTCTAATTTGTTCTCATCATCAATGAACATGTTTGTCTTTGCTGTTGTCTTCCTGCGTGGTTTTACCTTCAGTCCTTTGCTTGTGTAGACCCCACTGAAAGTCTGTACAGAATCAGGAGTTTAAGGACTTGCTGAAAGCAGTAGGAATGAAATCCGACCTCATGTTCCTTATGCCTAAGGCCTGTGGCCTTTATTTATCTTTTATTTGTCAGTACTTTAAAGATGAAGTATTCGAGAAGTTGAAATCCATCAAAGATGAGAATGGAATTAAAAAGCAGATCCATGGTAGTTTCTAAGAATGGAGTTACAGAGAAGGGGGAGTTTTTATGTAACACTTTTGGTAACACTTATGATTTTAGAATATTTGGAGTCTCTATCAGCATGATCATGAGGATACAGGAGTTTGGGGGGCATATTTATTAAGTTTGATATAGTCTCCTGCATTCGGTAACACTTCTCAATTTTCTAAATATGTCATTTCTATCTTTTACATTTCATAACAAACCACATTTGACTTTAGTTGAATAATATACTCATTATTATTTGATTATAATAATATTAGTATAGCATTTTCAGGTTCCTATTAAAAACTACAAATGGATTGTTTTTAACCTATGCATTTATTAAAGAGAAATGTTTTTATGTGTGTTTAGCTTAAAATAGATTAGAAGAGTGTTATATTTTAGAAACATTCAAATTACAGATGTTCTTCATAAGACTAGTGCAAAAACATCACTGGGTTCTCTTTGAGAAAAATATTTACAGTATAAAATGAATTTTTGAACCTCAATATAGAAAAGTAGATTTTTCCACATAGCACAGTTTCAGTGTGGTCAACACAAGTCCAGATGAAGTGAGAGGGTTTTTGAAGAACAGAACTCACCCATTTTTATACATCTTTGTTCTAAAGGTTCTCCACCAACCCTGATGTTAGTGACCCTGAGCCCACAACAAGAAAGGATGAACATAAATTTGATACAAAGGTAAAATTCTTTGAGAAGTTGATCTTCTTATTCTGAGTATGGATTGTTTCAGCATTTGTTCTTAAATTCAAGAATAATCTACTTATTATCCCTTTATACTGAACGCTGATCAGAGAAAACATCCACCCTAGTTAGAATTAGTCAGTAGGTGTTTACTTGGGTCCCTCACAAAGGAATAGTAAGCATTCTTCGACAGCAAGGCTTGAATGAAGATGTGATAAGTGATACAAATCTTAAAGTCAGCAAACTTTCCTCATGATAAAGTAAAATTAAAATTTGGAGGAGGATTTGTGGAACAAATATACTTTTGTGTCATTTTTTAAGTGATACTAATACAACTTTTATGAAGCTCACGACTATAAAAAATTTAGTCACGGCTGGAGGGTTTGCTCAGTGGTTAGGAGCACAATCTGCCTTTGCAGAGGACCCAGGTTTGGTTCCTTGCATCACATGGCGGCTCACGACCATCTATAACCCCAGTTCCAGGGCATCAGATGCCTTTTTCTGACTTCTATGGGCATCAGGCATGTAGATCAGGCATTCATGCAGGTAAAATATTTTTATACATAAAATACATGTAAATATTTAATGTAGTCACTTATAGTAATCAATGAATTTTCCGGTGTCTCATAGTTCTAACTAGCTAGCAGAAATGTGTAAATTTTTATTCCTTCAATGCTTTTTCTTTATTAGCATATAAAGTTTACAAATATTTGTCATTATTGTGTGTGTGTGTGTGTGTGTGTGTGTGTGTGTGTGTGTTTATGCATGCACATGCATGCTTATGTGTACCTGTATGCTCTTGCCGATGGAGGTGAGAGAGGTGTTGGAGCCTCTGGAGCTGGAATTCAGCAGCTGTGTGTAGATTGTGTGAACCACCTGGTGTGGGTGCTGGGAAGCCACCCACAGAAGCACCTCTAAAAGAACAACCAGTGCTCTTAACTGGTGAGCCATCTCTCCAGCCCTTACTCGGGTACTTTTAGAAAATTAATTGTATCATAAAAATTATAAGTATAGCCAGGCAGTGGTGGCGCACGCCTTTAATCCCAGCACTTGGGAGGCAGAGGCAGGCAGATTTCTGAGTTCGAGGCCAGCCTGGTCTACAGAGTGAGTTCCAGGACAGCCAGGGCTACACAGAGAAACCCTGTCTTGAAAAACAAAAACAAAAAAAAATTATAAGTATTATTTGCAGCATAGTGGTGAAAGTGTCAGCTGTATTCATGCATTCCACCATGGGGGTGTTGGTTATCAAACTGAGTGTCATACACGTGGTAGGAAGTCCAGCTACTGAGCCACACTCTCAGCACTGGAGAAGACTCTTCATCTGTGACACTTTGAAAACATAGATGTTGTATTTTTGTGTGTGCGGTTTGAATTTGTCTTCTCATAATAATGTCACCATGTTATAGCAACACATGTGGCTATGTCCAGTGAGCAACTTAACAGCTGTGGTATGTTCTAAGAGTCAGTACTTGTCATCAAAGAATGAAAAGCAAGATGAGCAACAGAGTCTACAATACTCCCTCTGGAAAATACCAGTCAGCATTTTCAAGTATCTTCCAATCAAATCACTTGGTAGCACTCTCAGAAAGTCTGGCTGACATTAATATTTATTGTTTTTCCCCTTTTAATTGTGCTGTTTGAGCCTAGATCCAAGTGTATGTAATTAGTGCTCTACCACATGGTTACTTACCCACCCACCCACAATACTGACGGTCAAATATTAACAGAACATTTTCACCTTTGAAACTCAGGAACCCTCGGGATTATATTCCTCCTAACATCCCAAAAGAATCCACATGTAAAGATTTAGCAGCTGTGAATGTCATAGCTTAGCATGTAACTGATTAGTGCGTGTCAGTACTGGGTCCAAATTTCCAAAATTTGAACAGTATCTGAAAAGTATTTGAGGGTTTATAAATATGATATTTGAATAGTGATAGATTTATAATTTTATTTGCTTTTGATAACATTTTATATGCTATGTTATGAAAAAGCTAGGAAGCAAGAACTCTGCATCTGCTGATACAGAATTAGGAAAATCAGGATAACTCTAAAATAAGGTTTTACATTTCTAAAATCATGCTGGTATTTTAAAATACATAAATTGGCAGACCCAGACTACCTCCCTAACTCTTTCATTCTCTTCTCTCTAGACTTAATCATAGACCTGCTGTAGCAGAAACCCCTCCTTCTATCCTATCTCCATTCCCTGGGGACTCTACCTCTTTGTGTAGACCCAGAGCCTTCTTAACTCTTTCTTGCTGCCCCTCTCAGCCTCTCCTTCTTACTCATCTCTATGCCTTTATATCACCCACCAACACAGAGCAACACTCTCTACCAGAGATCCTACAGTCATCACACCTGCCTAAGATCCAGGGTGAGCAACAGCAACCAATGACCCAAACATCCAACCAACAAAAATTAGACCAAACATCGACCAAGAAACACCTCAAATATCATAACTCCAGATGCCTTGATCCCAGAAAAAAAAAAAAAAAAACATGAACAGTCAAGGCAATATGCCTCCTCCAGAAGCCAGAAACCTACAGACAGGCTAAAGGCAGGCCCATTAGAATAACACCTGACTTCTCAGGGGAGACTTTGAAACCCAGAAGAGCTTCAAAGAGAGATGTTTTACAAACTCAAAAAGACTACAGATGCCAGCCCAGAATACTAAACCCAGAAAAACTATCAATCACAATTGATAAAGAAAAACATTCTACAATAAAACCCATACTAGTTTCTATGAATCCAGTTTTGTAGGAGGCACTAGAAGGAAAACATCAGTCTGAAGAGGTTACTCACATCTAAGAACACAAACGGAATAAGTAATTCTAAACCAGTAAATTAAATCAAAAGAGAGGGAAAAGCCGGGCGGTGGTGGCGCATGCCTTTAATCTCAGCACTTGGGAGGCAGAGGCAGGAGGATTTCTGAGTTTGAGAGTTTGAGGCTAGCCTGGTCTACAGAGTGAGTGCCAGGACAGCCAGGGCTACACAGAGAAACCCTGTCTCAAAAAACCAAACCAAAAATAAATAAATAAATAAAAAAGAGAGAGGGAAAAAACTCACACAATAAACATAGGAATCAATAATGTTCATTACTAACTTTTAATATTAATGGTCTCAATGCCCCTCCCAAAATGGACACAAACTCACAGATTAAATTTGAAAACAGGATTCACCTTTCTGCTGCATCCAAGAACACACCTCACCAACAAGGATAGACATCAACTTAGGGTAAAAAGATAGAAAAAGGTCTTTCAAGCAAATGGACCCAAGAAGCAAGTAGATGTCATCATTTTAATATCTGACATGATAAACTTCAATCAAGACTAGTCACAAGAAGGACACTTGCATATTCATCAAAGAAAAAAAATACACCAAGAGGATGCTATGATTACAAATATTTATACTCTAAACACATGGACACCCAAGTTTGTAAAAGAAACACTAGTATAACTAAAGTCACATATTGACACTCACACAGTGATAGTTGGTGACTTTAATACACAGGTCATTCAGACAAAAGGTAAGCTGAACTAAATGACATCAAAAACCAAATGGACCTAGTGAGTCTTTTCAGAGCATTTTATTCAAACACAAAAGACTATTCCCTTTTCTCAGCAGCTTATGAAACTTTCTCTAAAATTTACCACATACTCAGACACAAAGCAAGTCTCAATAGGTACAAAAAATTGAAATTACAGCCTGCATCCTAACTGACCACCATGGATTAAAGCTGGATATCAACAACAACAGAAAGCTTACAAACTCACAGAAAACTGACTAACTCTCTTCTGAATAAAAAATGAGTCAAGATAGAAACAAGGAAATTAAAAGCTTTTTATAATTTAATGAAAATATGACATATCCAAACCTATGAGGCACAGTGAAGGTAGTTCTGAGAGTCAAGTTCATAACAGTTTGTGTGTATAAAGATCTCATACTAGTAATTTAGTGGCATACCTGAAAGCTCTAGAATAGTAAGAAGAAATAACAACCAAGCCGGGCAATGGTGGTGCACGCCTTTAATCCCAGCATTTGGGAGGCAGAGGCAGGTGGATTTCTGAGTTCGAGGCCAGCCTGGTCTACAGGAGTGAGTTCCAGGACAGCCAGGGCTACACAGAGAAACCCTGTCTCAAAAAAAAAAAAAAAAAAAAAAAAAAAAAAGGAAGGAAGGAAGGAAGGAAGGAAGGAAGGAAGGACAACAAAAAAAGTAGATGGGGAGAAATAATGAAACTTTAGGCTGAAATCAACAAAAAAAAAATATAAAATAAAACAGTGCAAAGAATCAATCAAAGGGAAAATTGCTTCTTTGAAAAACAACAAGATTGACAGACTCTTAGCCAAATTAATAAAAAAAAGACACACAGGAACCAGATTAATAAAATTATGCCCAGAGAGAGGATCCATATGAAAGAGGGACATCATAAAAGTGAGGGAATTCAGAGCCTCAATAGGATATACTTTTTAAATGTGTATATATATATATACACATTTAAATGTATATATATACATTTAAATG